ATAGAATAGTTCTAGACTGAACCACCCATTAGTAAAAATAGATCATGAAGCTATCGCGGCGGAGGATGAACTTGAAGGCTTTTGATCAAGTGCAATTGTTCAAGGGAGCCCAGACAAGATTATGTACGATGGACAAAGCTTGTTGGACGTCTTGCTAACAAGCACATTACCACTACTTATCTTCAGAGGCGTTTTGAGTTTAAACGCAGAGAAAACTAGGTTTTGACGGTTAGAAAATGAGGATGCCAGAGTGAAGACGCCTTTTGTACGATGACGTCATCGTCCTACAGTAAAAGGCGTTCGTCTTTTACCACTGATATTACATCAATCGGTACACTTATGTTGTGGAAAGGTCCGTGAGCATGGTGAATGATTTTTTGCATTAAACTGCAGACACGTCTTCAGTCACTCCGTGAAAGAACACCCTCATTTTTCCGGATATCGGATAAACACTCTGGTCGCTTACATAATTTTCTTTGCTGTTTCCTTTATTTAGAATTAGGACTCTCTTGAGTAATCCATGCATGGACTAGCGATTTTAAGCTTTATCAAGAAAACTAACATCTGGAATTGTCCCTAGGGAGAGGCATTTGCGCACAGTTTTAAATCCCCTCGGTGGGGTAACTGGGCCGGTTTTCTTATCTCCTGTGCTCATCCCTCATTCTTCTCAACCTCTTCCAAACCAATTTTCCTGTTTATCACAAAACACTTTATGGAAAGACCAAGAATCTCCTCAAAACGAGATTCGTGATTGAAGCAAAATAACTAAATAATTTTGTACGGAACTGTTGTTAATGGTGTTCAAGATAGAATGAGTCTATTTACTAAAGATATTACTTTGCCGACGCCCAATTTGCAAAACCCGAAGTAATGATGTTTATTTCAAGGGCTCATGTTTCATGTCTCTTGAGTTCTTCAAACGCTGTAAATACACGTAGCTGGAACTACCATCGCATCCTCGCTTACTAATAATGATAACTTATATCAATGCTATTATTTATTCCCTGGCTAAGATTTTCACGGATTCTTTAGTTCAGTTGTTTGAAACCAGGCGGTTTCAAGTGAGTTGCAACGCCATGCAAGGATCGTGACGATCGACCCGCGATATGCGTAGGAAAATTTTACTTTTTTTTCGATCAAGGTGGAAATTGGCATCTTTGTCGTCGAATAAGGTATTACATTTCAATTTTCATTATTATGCTTAATTTTAAAAGCTCTGGTTTCAATAAAGGAACTGGAGAAAATTAGGAAAATTCCAGTTCGACTGTGATGGTTGCATTTTATTTACACGTCGTAGCATAAATATAGTAAATTCATTTTCCTTTTCTTTATACAATCTACCTTTTCTACTGTTTTTCGCAGCAGAGCTATCGCTTATATTACAGAGGCTAATTTTATTATATAGACCACTCATATTCAGTGACAGAATTTCCATTATTGATTGTAATTTTGGCAAGTATTCAGTGTAAAGCTTATTGATCAAGTCGCTAGAACACTCTTCCATTCATTACTTTTGTTTCCGCTCCATTAAATTTGCCCAATTTTTTTATTGACGAAATCGATTTAACTACAAACAATGAGTATTCAGGCAGAGTGGCAAGCTTCAATGCGATGTGGCAAGAGAGATATACGCCTTTGAATTTCTGTTTATTTTACGGGTGTAAAAAATTCAAAAAGTATACCCACCAAAACTTTAATCGATCGTTGCGAAAACGTTATCAATTTCGAAGTAGTTTCTAAAAATACAATAAAGAGGGATAGTTCTTTCAATGTGTATCGGCAAAGGAAGATTAGCTTTGAAGACAGGGTTGTAGTCGAAGGCTAAAAAACAACTTCTATTAACCAATATGGCGCTGGTCCGAAGCACACAAAAACCGGCCGTGTCGATAATTTCCGAAATAGGAGGAATTAGAACCTAAAGTTACCTACTCCTTATTAAAGACCCCAATTCAAGTCTACATGCAAATTTTTAGTCAATTCGTTGCGATAGTGTGGTAGCGACTTTTCAATATAGTTCGAATCTTACAGACAACTGCTCTTAATATACATAACGGTCGAGTCTATGACGTCACCCATTGTTATAACCTAAGTGCCTTCCTCCATACTAATTCGGTGTAGGTATAGGAATACGTATAGGTATAGCTAAGTCATTTATATTCACATGCCTTCCCGCATACTAATTCTGTATAGGTTTACTAATGAGCGAATACTACAATAGAAACAATAGGCTTGCCTCGGCTTGCCCGTTAAGTAACTTGAGCCCGGTTTTCAGACCGTCTATTAAAAGGAAAATAGGAATAAGAGAAGCGATCACCTAGCAACGCGAGAAACGGCTTCCTATATCTTATTTAGCGCTAAAACTCAGACATATAAACAAAACACATACAGAAAGTGGAGTTGAAAAGTCTTTATTTCAATTTAGTTTATGTCTTCTTATTTAGCTCTAAAACTCAGATCATAGTTAGTAGAGTTAATTCCCCTCTACTAACTATGATCTCATCAATCACCCTTCTCTGCTGGAGTTGGTGCAGGAGCAAACTGTGGAAGACCTGAAGCGACAACAGTAGTCACTCAAGACGACGGTGTTCTGTCGCACTTTGTAGTGCCTATCGCACTTTGTAATAAGAAAGCTGTCGCAATTTGTAACAACAGACCTTCAGGATAGTAGAAAAAGCATTTTTTGAGCCCCCCCGCCGAAATCTTCCTTCGACGTTCGTTTGTTCGAGATCTCTTATATAAAATCATAGATTCACCACTGACTTATTGGCTAAATAACGTGAGTTCATTTGCCCTTGTTTATCTTCTTACCCTCAGAGTCTCCGTTTTGTAAGTGATCTGTTTCCTTTTCCAGTGCCACAGGACTTTTACCACAGTAGATTGTCGGGATTAGTTTCTGATCCAGTAAAACCAAATATAACCCAATTCAGTTCGAGCCGCGGTTTTTGGTCAGTTAGTTCGCTGATAATTCGCGGCTGAAACGGACATTTACGCAGGAAATCGAACACTTAATTATAGCATCTTGAGTAGTCGAGAACAACAAACACACAACATCATATTGATACAAAGCCACCAGTAATGCGGGCGGAAACAATCATTTACTTTTTGAGATAATTTTTCATCCGTCTTTGGTTTGTTCAAATTGATAGCAGCTAATGAAAAGGAAGGAAATTCAGTTTTCTTATAATAATAGCTCTCTAAACCGAGGAAATTGAACCGAAAGATATTTTCGTAAAAAATATATATATAATGGTTGCATCATAGGCCGCATTGAAACTAGCAACAAGATCGTGTCCTAGCAGATCGAAAAAAAACATATAAAATTCAACCGTGAAACCATCTTCTCCTGGAGCTTTGTTGTTTTGAAAAGTGTCTAAAGCTTTTTTGCATTCTTCATAAGATAATGGACCTTCTATTCTATCTCTGTCTGCATCTGATAGTTTTGGAATTTTTAAATGTTCGGTGAATTCATCAACATTATTTTCCTGTGAATTATTTGCTGATGCGTACAATTCACTATAATAGTTTTCGATAGCTTCTAATATCTGAGACTCGTTGTTTGTTACTGTTTCACTTTCTGTTCGCAGTTCAGTGATGGTTTTCCTGTTGTAGTTTCTTTTCTCCAGATTGAAAAAGTACTTTGTTGGACGTTCGCCCTTTTCGACCCAGCGACATTTCGATCTAAAAATAGCTGCCCTCCCTTTCTCCTCGTAAATAGATTGGAGTTCCATTTTGAGATCTTCATATTCATTTAGGATGTGCGCGATATTGGGAGAGTTAAAGTTGTCGCAAATATTGCGGTCCAGAATTTCGAGCTGTCTCCCTAATTTCCAATTCTCTATTAGTGGTCGCTTTAGCTTTCTTTTTACTATAAGCAATGGTTGCCGCTCTGGTTTCCATTTTTAACATTTCTCAAAGAAGGCGTGCGTCTGCCAAATTGGCGTAAAAAGCGCGTGTGCGGGAGTACGTTTCACGGATTTTGGACACATAATGTTCATCTTTCAGTAACGTGTTGTTGAATTTCCAAAGTCCGGGTCCTCTAGACTTTTCAGTTGTCCAAGACAAAGAAATGTAAATTGCTCGGTGATCCGGTGCTATAGAAGGATAAATTTCGCTTTTCTTCACATGTTGTGTCAGATTTTTTGGCAACTAGGAAAAAGTCTATTCTGGATTTCAGTTTTAACACTTTTGATTCATAAGAGTATTTACGTAGCCTCGGGTGACGTAATCTTTGAATATCTACGAGATCGAAAGCGTCCATAGTTGTCAAAATCAGGTTTCGATAATTTGTTGGTTTCAAATTGTGCCACCAATTTTATCTATCTTTGATAGTGTGCTATTCCAGTCGCCTCCTACAATAAGCGTGGAAATTTCTGACTTGTCGATAAGGCAATTGTTTAAGTTTTGTAAGAAATCTAATTGTTCACTTTGGCTATTCGGGGCATAAATATTCACCAGTGATAATTTTAGAGAATTCAGAACACAAGTAATTAGCACGATTCTTCCAGCCTTGTCACTGAATGAGTAATCGATCTTATTTTGTACCGTAGGGTGTAAAAGAATGCAAACACCTTTACTATGCCTGGATCCGTGAGAGAAAAATATTTCACCTCCCCATTCGTTTTTCCAAATAATTTCATCTTCTGGTTGAGAGTAAGTTTCTTGCAAGAAATAAATTTTTGAGTTATGATCTTTGAGATATAGAAAAATGCTCCTCCGTTTGGCTTGATCTCTTATTCCCCTTACGTTTAGAGAAAGTATATCGTATTTTGCTTTCTCTTGCATTACAATAAAAAACAAAACAAAAAACAAAAAAACAAGAAGAATATATATGCAAATTTAAAAAAAAAAAATACAGAAGCAAACAAAACTAAAATTATACAAAACGTAAATTAAAGTAGTTTTTGAGCGTTTCCCTTCTTCTTCTCCGAACTTTGCGTTTTTTGTTCCTGTCCCAAATGTAAGTTACAGTTTTTGTCTTCCTTGGCCAGACGATTGGACATTTAAAGATAATCTAAGTCTTCCAGCTCGTTAATTCTGACCGGCTTACCCTGCGGAGAGGTCTTGACATATATTGATCCATCCATTGACCAGACACTCAACAATTCATCATTTCTCCGCATCTCGTTTGCCCGATTCATTATTTTTTTCCTGTACGAGGTAAGATTCTCGTTTAAAAAAATTCTGTCGGCTTGCACTAGAGTTGATGACGAGCACTGCGGGAAGATGTTAGAAACTCTGACATTTTTTAGCTTAGCCCTAGCCCTGTATAGATTTGTTTTGACCTTGTGGCTTATAAATTTTACAATAATTGGTTTGTTACCCTTCCTGTTCAGCTTGTGACATATTTCGATATCCTTTGGTTCCACTGATACATCTAGGGCCTCCGCTAATTTTAACACCACGTCTTCCGTCTCGGTGTAGGCGCTTTCTGGTACACCATGTATTTCTATTGAGTTTTTCCTCGTGTATTGTTCTAGTTTGTCTTGAAGATCGTACAATTCACCAATTTCTTCTTCCTGCTCTTGAATTTTCTTTCTTGCTGCCACCAGCCCGCGTTCTACCTCGTTGTACTGCTTCGTTATATGTTCTAGAGATGATTTCAACGCAGTTATATCGTCTGTTTGGTGTTGAATTGTGCGCTTGAGATCGGTCATTTCGCTTCTGATTGTTTTGTTTTCGCGTAGGATAGTTGCAGTATTTATTTGAATGTCTACCAACATCTCCCTTAGTTCTGCATTACTGGGCTCACCTTCGGCGTTTATTGCTTCATTTGTCGCTTCCACTAACTCCGCGGCCTCTTCCTCTTGACATTCCGCCATGTTGGCTCTTTTAAGTGTCGATGGTTCTTCTTCTTCCACTGATCCTCGAGCTCCTCGTTTGTGTTTTCCTCCTAATTTCTGCATTTAATACTTCAGCAAGTGTTTAAACGTTGAATTATTATGTCAAGGCGGTATAAAGTTCTCTAAAATTGGCGTAAAGGGACAGAAACTACGCTCCTCACAAAACGTGCCACCGCACACCGACCCCACGCATGCTCTCCATGAACTCACCATTTCACAACGAAGAGGCGTTATTACTTTAATTCCCAAAGAAGATGGCTCGCTACTAGAACTTTCAAACTGGAGACCGGTAACACTGCTAAATGTTGATTGCAAGATAGCAACTAAGGCAATAGCAAGGAGAATAGAACCATTATTACCAAATCTAGTGCACACTGATCAAACCGGTTTTATCAAAGGAAGATATATCGGGGAAAATATTAGGCTAATAATCGACATAATGGAACATACGAAGTCAGAAAGCATACCTGGCATTCTAGTATCTCTAGATTTTCGGAAAGCTTTTGATTCTCTAGAATGGTCGTTCATGATGAAAGCACTGGATATATTCAATTTCGGAACAAGTATAAAAGATGGATCAGTACATTCTATACAAAAATTGAGAGCGCGGCGATAAACAATGGTTTCATGACCAACTGGTTTAGACCGTCAAGAGGAGTGCGACAGGGGTGTCCCCTTTCTCCGTACTTATTTGTGCTTTCCACGGAGATATTATCCAGCAAAATCAGACAAGAACCAAGTATAACAGGAATCAAAATATTCGGGCACGAAATCAAATTGAGCCAATTCGCAGACGACACAAACCTTTTCTGTGCAGATTTGATCTCCGTTGAAAATGCTTTGAAAACGGTGGGAGATTTTGGGAGGCTAGCGGGTCTCAAGTTAAACATAAAGAAATCGAAAGCAATTTGGTTGGGAAAATGGGAAAAAAACAAAAGTTATCCTTTACAACTAAAATGGTTACATAGTCCGGTTCGCCTCTTAGGAATTCATGTCTCTTATGATGAGAAGGGTAACAATGAATTGAACTTTAATCTGAAAATACGAAAACTTCAAACAAAGCTGGATATGTGGAGATCTAGAGACCTCACACTATTTGGGAAGGTACTGATAATTAAGTCCCTAGGATTGTCACAATTAATTTATTCAGCTTCAATTCTTAATGTTCCCGAAGATATCGCAAGCACAGTGAAAACAAAGTTTTTTAGTTTCTTATGGAAAAACAAAAGGGATAAAATTAAACGAACTGGGCTCTATCAGGATCTGGGAAGAGGCGGAATACGTATGGTAGACATCGACATAATGTTTAAAGCTCTAAAACTAGCCTGGATTCCAAGATTACTGACTCCAGGGAACCAGAATTGGAAAACAGTTCCTGATTATTAAACTACGATGCGAAATACATAAAATCTATTCCATTGTTTTACCGAAATATTCTAGTATACTTCAGTGAATTAAAAACTCTGTACAGCTTTGATCAAGCACAAAATATAATTCTATTCAACAACAAAGAAATACTTGTTGACAGTAAAACCTTTTTTATCAGGGAATGGTTTAAAAAAGGTATCCTGTCAATACAAGATCTCTTACACAATACCGGTCAACCAATGACCTATCAGGAATTTACGAATAAGTATTCCTGTAAAACTAACTTCCTTCAATACTATCAAGTTATTAGCGCTATCCCAAAGCACCTATTAGCCAAAGCAAAATCAACGAAGCCAATTAATAAAGAGTTATATTCTGATAATAATCTTAGTCTACAATTAAATGAATCGATAACTCTATATCTGAACAAAATCAAGACTAGCGACTTCTATACGTTATTATGCACAAAAATCCACACAACAGGTCATTCTGGGCCACAGAGATGGAGCAAAGATCTTTCCTTGGATGAAGATAAATGGGAAAAAATATTCACCTCCCTAAAACCGTCTGTAGAGACCAAATTAAAGGAATTTCAATATAAATTAATCCACCGAATTGTAGTCACCAAAAAGGAACTTTACCGCTATGGAATCAAGGAAGATGATGAATGTATATATTGTGGTGAAAAAAGACTCTATTAATCATAACTTTAGAGATTGTCATTTCGTCAAGATTTTCATTCAACGGGTTATCAACTGGTTCAATATAGAAAACAAGATCAATTTCAACCCATCTAGCGAAGAAAGACTGTTCGGCATCCTCTCGGACTTACATGAAAAGGTACTAGTAAGGAAATTCAATTATACCATGTTGTTTATGAGATACTACATCTACGCCAACAAACTACACAACAAACCAATTCTCCTCCAAGACTTCGTTGGTAAAATGATAATTAAATACAGAATTGAAAAGCTATAAAATAGACATGAAAAGTAACTCCTCTGACCTTTTTTTTTGTGTGTTTATGTGGGTGTGTGTGTGCGTGTGATGTACTAGAATTGTAAGTAGTGAAACCATTGTAATTATTAGTAGTACGAGCATCGTATGGATGGTATTGTCAGTATAGCTAATATTGTAAATAGTGCAAGTATAGTGAATATTGTTAGTAGTATTTAGTTTCAGTAGTGTTTAGTACTGTAAACATTTAATATATGTCTGTAAGGCAAAAAATAAATAAAAAAAATAAAAAAAAAAATAAAAAAAATATATATAATGGTTAAAAAATATAGCCTCCTAAGAAAAAGCAGTTCTGTCCATTTCCCATTTAATCAGGACAATACTTTTATAGCCTGATATAGAGCTCGCACCTTCTACCTTTCGATTTCATGAAGATAACAAGCACACTTGATAATGAAAGTTTATTTCGTTATTTTTGTTTTGTTTTTAGATTATATGCACTCGAAAAAATACTGATGTCATTTTCACTCCTTATTGTTCCGCCACCTTCGTTGACTATAATTGGAATAAACCGTTTCGAAACTTCCTACTTTCTTTTTGTTTTTGTTTACTTAAAATTCTCTATATACCTAAACCTCTTTTCGTTGAAAAAAACAACTGATCAATATTTGCATGTAAAAGAAAGCTCGTCTTCATTAGAAAAGTGCATCCGAAATGTCCCCTTCCTTTTCCTCCATAAAGTTGTCAAACTTACTAGATTAAAACAGGTTATTATAAATAATCTACCTTCACTTGATTTGCCTAGATCAAAGGTGTCAGATTGTTTCTCATGCAATAACATTAGAAGAAGGTGAACATGCTGAGCGAGCCGTGGACAATTATTTCCATTTATGCTGAGAAAACATACTTAATTTTTTTGTCATTGACGTTCAAGGGATTTTGAAATTTATGTGTTACTTAGCAAATTTAAGAAAAAGTTACTTATAAATGTTTGAACTCTAAAGGAGTACGTCCCGTCGATAAAGCGCAAGAAAAATACAAAAGAAAATTACCATCTTCCATTTTCGTTTTTGCGGGTGGCGTTGGCGTTTTCACTTGACAATTCTTTTATGCTTGTATTGTGCTTTTCTTAATTGTGGCTAGTTAAGGCGAAGCTTTTCGGAAGAATATTAAATTCTTGCCTAATTTTATGAACGGATCAGCTTAATTGTAAAATTATTTTTGTTTATTGTGGTCCTATAATATCCATTTTGTCTTCAATATTTGATTTAGAACTGCAGTCAGAAGGTGAAGCCTCTTCATGCCAGTATTTTGAAACACACAGAGGACTCGACATTTGGTCCGGTTGTGGTGCTTCAAAGAGAGCGGCGAAATTGAAATAAAATAAAATAGCCAGGTTGCGTTTTTCTCGATTTCTTCTGTGTACACAAGTATCGGTTTCTATCACAAAACGGATATGATTTGAATTCAGTACATGGCCTTAAACCATTCAAGCCCCAAGAGTGAACAACATATTAAATTTTTTCCACCAATTTCAATATCTTATCAAGAGAGAATGTTATGAGAATTAATGAAATGATCACCAGGAAAAATGCTTTGATCTTTAATCAAATTCTCCATCAAATTCCTTAAAAGTATGGAGAGCAGTCTTTTTAGTTCACACAATCTAAGACGTTATTTGGTCTTGTTCAGTAATTAACAGCAGGTGCCTTTTTCCACTGAATGAGAGATACTTGGAGAGAAATTGTAAGGTCTGTTGCTCCTTAGGATAATTGGGGACAGGCTCAAGAGTAAAGAGTAATTTTCTGTAAAATTTGAACATCGGCCTGACACGGCACGTTATCGATTTGGCTGATTTTTGGCATGTAGTCTTAGAATGGTGTCCTAAATACTGAATGCATATTCTAAGGTTCGAATTCTCTTTGGTTTCAAAGATACAGGAATGGCAGTTTTGACGAGACCTCGAGGGGCCGCCATGTTGGTGAACTGAAAGAGGTTTACAATGATTAATTGTACCCTTATCATTAAAATAACTTAATCGTGACTCATACAGTCTCAAAGAACTATCCTTCCTCCTTTCATTTACCTAGTATTATCTGAAAATGGTTAAGGCTGCGCTACGAACGGCTATAACTTCTCACGGCACTTTTTCGGTAATTAAACGGTACATAAATTTGGTAGAAATTGGAAGGTCAATATCACCCATGCCATATCGATTTGGACTAAGTCATTTTAACTAAACATAGTTTGTTTATAGATAAGTTAGATTGTTGAATAAAATAATTGGGCAAATGTAATGGAGCAGAATTATAATTGCATGAATCCGCAGCGGCTCAGCCCCTTGGCCACTAAAACTTCCAAACAAAATTCGGTGAATATTTGAAAAGAAAATTCTAAAAAATTGATCATGCCTCTTAAAGCCTATCTATAGCTTAAAAGAGCTTCATTTGTAATGTAAAAAGGTGATCTTTTGCTTCTGATCTTGCGAAAAGCTTGAAATATGCGCTAAAATGAAAATTATAAATTTTGTTACTCACAGTGTAGCTCATTAAGTTCGCACTTCGATTTGCCAGACCAATCGGGAGCCGCTCGCGTGCACAGGTTCAATTTTCTCTGCAGTATTTCGCTGAATAAAGCTACAAATTACATATTTTCTTAGGCAAAGATAACGCAAACTTTGTCAATTTTTATCAAAAGGCTATTTAAAAAAACCGTGCACTGCTCAAATTATATGGTAT